TATGTGTGTGTATTTTTTTTTAATTCTTCCCTTCTGATCCAGAAATACACATTATGGGCTAGAGAGGTCCAGAGTAGTCCACCAAATGGATCCATTTTCTGACATTGTACATTTAGCCAAAAATTTACATCTGGGTGATTCTAAACCACTTCAGATTCAACCCTTGTAAAATTCATTCCCATGTTTAGGTACAAGCCAAATACCCAGTGATTTCCAGGAGATTTAAAAAGGTCATCAATGCACAATGGAAGTGGAATGAATGCTAATACCATAAAGCTCCATATCAAAAATAATACAAAAATAATAAATTGCTTGCTTTTGAGTAATTAAAATAAAATACGCTTTATATTTGTTAAAAACAACTTAAACCAACTAGTTCCAAGAGCATATATTCTCATGTAAGCGGTGCAGTTCAGTTATATGTGCAACAAGGAGTTCAAAAAAGCCAAACAAAACCGAACCCAAAACCAGTAGAGAACGTGATGATGAAGAAAGTGAGAGTACTTGACACTGCTGTGACACCGTGCTGCATCACACAGCAGCAATCAGAGGTACTACCCAAGCCTTCCCCATCAGTGGTTGTCTGCAACAGCCATTACGATCAAAGAAATAACTAAAAGTGGAATATGCTTTTCAGAAACACTCCAGGGTGAAGGTTGTAAAGAAAGAAAAAGATATGTATCTAACATCCTGTCTCAAAAAATGGTGTATTATTTCCATGACCCTAAGTAGGCACCAGCCTATTTCCTCTTGAATGACTGAAGGAAAAAGGACAACTTCACAGGTAGTAAGACATGAAAAATGCCAGTAAAAAAAATAAGAATTACTTGGCATCTTCCAGGAGGATATATTAAATTCTCCTTCACCTAAGGTTTTGTCATCTAATTTAAAGACTTTTTGGAAATATGCCCTCCCCTAACCACCATATCTGATGAAAAATGCAGATGGTCATGCCAGATAACATCATTAAAAAATTCTGGACTTGAAATCCAATTGAACAGAGGAATGCAGTGGACCTATAAGAAGTCAGCAAAG